GTATGTATGTATGTATGTATGAAAAAGCGTCCGGATTTAGAATGTTGGGCCCGGGCACCGCTCTCGAGGACAACACTTGATGCCCAGGATTTTACAGGCCTGTGTCGTCAGGGATTCGGACCAATTTCTGTGATGAGCGTATATGGCTGAAATCAATTCTAGCTTCTACGTAGTATCTGCTGGGACGGTGACAGCATCTTGAGATAATATTTGTGCAGAGATTGGCACACGACCCAAAAAGTCCAAAAGCTGAACTACCAAGAGCAGCTTGTCTAGTTCCCTCGCTTGCTGAAGGCTTTCAGTGGCTTTAGCGTGTGACCACAACGAAAGAAAGCAAAATGACCACGAGAACAGATTGGCTCCCCGAAGTGTCGCTGTTCTCTTTGAAAACGACAAGACCTCACTAGTCTTGGGGTGGTACGTTGCGAGGGCACTTGAATCGAAAGTTCTCGGGCATGGGGCCGGCCAAGGGCAGCGCAAGAGGTGATGCGTGACTACCGGGTTCTTCTTCCGTGCAGGTACCCTTGGATCGGCAAATCTGCGTCGGAGCTCAAGGTTGGCCTCTGACATGCTCAGGGGCCCGGGACGTCCATCGAGCGCCCCCTCTGTCTCTGTGAAGGTGCGCTGGGATCCCAGCAAGGATCCATGCCGGTGGTCTTGGGCCTCAGAATGAGAGCCTCAGAGCCTCAAAGCATCTCAGAGCCTTCGTGGCAGCCAGCGGCCTGAAGGTCCCTTACATGATGCTTCCGGTGCAGGCCGGTGATTTAAGGGCCAGTGGCAGGAAAGATTTCTTCCCTGGACGCTGAGGCTTTTCCCATGCCAGACCGGCCGTACCAGTGCTCAGCAGGTCTGGGGACCGAATCTGTGCTTTACCACGGCTCTGTCCCATCGTTTATGCAGAGGCGCAGGCATGGGCTCTGCGTGTGGGGCATTGGCACTGAATGCAGATGAAGTCTACACGGTCAGTGCCTTGGAGTGTTTCTGGGAAGAAACATGTGCTTGCCATGTGCCCTTCACGTCCATATCCTTGACTCTCTCACATGAACTCCCTCGGCTTTGGCTGGTGACGACAAGCCGGCATGCGGAGCTCAAGCACCAGAAGAGCAATGGCTGTGTTGAAGTTGTGAAAGTGTGATTGGCAGGCCAGTGATTTGGGGATTCGAGTATTTCAAAAGTCTCGAGGTATCGAGGCTTGCGACTAACATATCTCATGCGAGTGATACAGGTCCCCTGCAAATGCTTTGCTACGTGCCTTTTCCTACTTGCAGTACTGAGCAGTGCTTGAATCCTTGGAATGCCCGTTGATGGGGACACGCATTTATCTCATGCCTGTTCGCAGTCGCGGCATGTGAGACATGAAGCGCTCGATTGCCACGATGTTCACGGAGATGACACGATTGGTCGACATGCAAAGCAAGAGCCGTCTCGTCCGGCCGAGGATTGATTTACACAATTGGTGCGGACTGTGAGTCCGGACACAGGCATCGTGATGTGGTAGCAGTTCTGTGTGACCGAGCCTGTGCAGTGCTGCTGCTGTATTCTCTGCTTCTCTAGAGGTGTGTGTGTGTGTGTGTTTGTGTGTGGTTCTCTCGCTCATGAACTTAACCAAGTGAATGCCTTTTTCCCGCCTTTTACATGCAGGACACAAATGTTTGCATTATGACATCACGCTTTTTCCGTAGGGGAAGCAGGGTCTGCAGCGACAGAGTATTTGAGAGTGTTTCCAACGAAGACGCCCATCTACTCTGGTGAAGCACTGGGAGACGTCCTGGTGTTCACATACATGGCCGCCCAAAGCACCCTTAGATGTTGTGGCTTCCATCATTGGCAAACCGGTGAGAGAATCGCAGGTTGAACCTTGGAGTCGATTTGACGCTGCTTTGCCTGCAGCACATCCGCAGATGTCAACAGGTTGCAGGTGCAAGGTGACTTTTGGCTGACGTAGACCGCAAGCACGTTTGCTGCAATCTGTTTCCTGTTGAGCGCAACAAGCCTTCCGGCAAGTGTCAGCAGACTGGAACATCCAGCATTCGGAACTTACTAGATCCAGCCATGAGAGTACACTTAACTTGCCGTGTGTGTGTGTGTGGGTGTGTCTGTCTCTGTGTGTGTGTGTGTTTGTTTTGTGCGTGCTTGGACATCTGTGAGGTACAAGATACGATGAGAGGTGGAATCTGGCCACATGTAGTCTGCATTGCGTTGCAGTGCTTCAGAGCGCTCGCTCTGGCAGTAACTTAAGTAGGCCATCTTCCTCTTTTCACAAAGGGCATGGTTCCCGACACCAAGACAGCTTGGCTGTAATTGGGCATCTCTGCTCGTGCAAGCTTGCGCGAGGAACTGCACGACATTCAGGCATATCCTTGCAGTATCTAACCATTGAAAGTCAGGTCCGAGCCACTCGGTGATTGCCAAGGTTTCTTGCGCCAAGCCTGCAATTCTGCAGGGTCTTTGAAGTTGAGGAGGGGGCCAGCAAACTGGCGGTCCGGGCATCGTTTGCATTGGTAGCACATTTATGGAACCAAGAGTCCGCCAGTGGGCCAATTCCGGCCACCCTTGAAGGTTTTCGCTTTCCACCTACAATGTTTTGTTTTCGGTGCATGCTGCACCTCGTGTGGTCAAGAGACCAGCCAAACTTCAACCTGCTTTCTTCACGCTTTGCGGACAGGGAGCCCAGAGCATCGCAGAGCTGTGAATCACGCTTTTGTCCTCTCGTCCTGATGGACGCCCCGGAGGGAGGCCCCCAGAGATGCGAGGCTGAGTCGCCGAGGCGAAGCGACCCGGAGCGCAGGCGAGGATCATTCAGATCTCATTTTGCCTCAACCTTTAACGCGCGCTCTGTCACGACAGCCTTGCGTGCCGTCCCAACTCAGAGGCTGTAACAATGCATAGCAATGTATGGCAATGCAATGGATGCGACCGTAGTCTTCTAGCACGCTGTCAGTTGCAGGGGCCTCGGGCTCGTGTGGCAGATTTTTACTGCTCCTTGAAGTACGCTGTCTGCATGAACAAGGAGACAAAAGCCGCATAGGGTGTCCGTTTCACATTCCATCTCAGACGCTCTGCAGCGGTTTGTGGGAGCATGTCTCGCGCACCTTCAACGAAACCTCGCTGCTGAGCGTGGCAAGACAGTTCGAGATTGGCGGTCCCATTTTTCAAGGGCACAACAGTGTGTGGCCGGATCTAAAGGTGTGCAAGAATGTGTGCGCTCCAATCGCGCAACAACGGTAGTTTTGGGTCATGTCCACTAGTGTCGGAGTTGGCGCGATCCGACCCCACAAGTGAAAGTCGATCAGACTGCCGCTTAGCGGGCCACAGGTCTCGCGGCGATCATGCCACGCAGCTTCAGTTCATGAAGACTTCTGTGACTACGAAGCGCGAAGCTAGGAAGATCAGAAGGAAGCACGCTAAGCCTACGCGTCGCGAAGGTGCTTCGACTAGAAAATGCTGCCAAAATGAGGTGACTTCAATCCCAGGCAGCCTATGCTCATAGGCGAAGCACCATCTCCCGAAGTGAGTGAGAGACGCATTGTGACATCTGAAGACTAGATGGACTTCAGAGACTCTGAGCATGGCTGAGATGTACTGAGCTCCAATGTTCGGATGATGTGTAAGAATACGAATCAGCCACGGTTTGTCCTAGTGCAGCAACCTGGACACTAATTCGCCTTCGCTAGGGCTCCATAGGAATCAGCAGTGGATGGTATCACATTGTGTCAAAGTCTGCATGGACTGTCACAGTTGTTGAAGCCGTCTTCCGACACCGGGAGCCGATGTTTCATCATCGTACGAGCACCAGATTTCATGGCTGGGTGATCGGAAGAGCCTCCCTAGTGGAGGCTTGGCTTCCTTCCGGCAGTTCTCACCGAAGCGGCTGTACCGGCGGGCTTCGTGAAGGACCAATGCACAAATCATGATGAGATGTTGGTTGGAGTCCCAGTGCGTACTTGAATTCTTGCAGCAGTTCAGCGAAACATCATGCCATTTTCTGTTTGCCAGAGCAACCTCCGGCCAAAGGGGCATGCCGAGGATGCACGATTGTTACGCAAACAGTCTAGCAGATTGGGCAGACTTGATTCGATCTGACGCATCATGCATTCCTGCTCCTCACAGGCATGTTTAGCCACACCTCATCTCATTTGCGTCTAATGGGCAGGTTTGTTGTTCGGTACAAACCTGGGCGGATGATTCTCTCGCGAGAAAACGGTGCAAGTGGTGCTCTTGCAGCCGCCGATGCGTGAAGAACGCATACTTCTGTGGCGTAGCATGCAAAGGGAGCTGACATGTGCGTTATGTCAAGCCTGCAAGTGACCTGACTCAGTTCGTTCAGTGCGGACATGTACAATACTGCAACACAGGCGATTGTTGTGCAGGGAACACACTCGTCCGCACTTGAGCCGGTTTCTGGGCTTTGTTTGAAAGGGGCTTGTCCCAGAGGCCTGCAGTCATACAGCCTTGCACAGTATCGATAATCCCGTGCCGACACCCCTGCAGTCTAATGCTGAGGCAGGGTTGTGATTCTGAGATATGGAGATTGAACAAGCAAGATGATGCGAGATCGTGTGCTCCATGTCGGGACGCAGGCGGCTGTCGAGCTCATTGCATGCTCTCCGACACCAGCTCCATCAGGCCTTGCCGCCACTGGCAGAGATGCCTCGAAGCGCTGCCGCTGACAGGGCAAACTCGGAACCCACATTGGCCTCGTGAAGCTCTCCAGCTGCGACCGCCCGAACGTCTTCGCTGAAACGACCTTCGCTGACTTCCCCCTGGATGAACGGCTTCGAAGAGGATTGGAGGCGAGAGGATCGGAGCCGACCGAGTGCAGGAACGCCAGCAGTGTCAGGCCGCCTTGGGGAAGTCTTACGTCACGCCAGTGCAGCACGAGGTTTTCTCCCGGCACCTGACGGACAAGGACGTTCGTAGTGTGTTGTGCACTGTTGTGCACCAGTGCTTTGCAAGCCCTTGCCGATTTCAGTGTCAGGAGCAGAGCGCCCGGCAAGCTGACTTACTGCTGCAGGTCTCGACACGTCTCCAGACTCGCCGAAGTGTGTGCGGAGATGTACTCGAGGCTCCGACTGGCACGGGTAAGACAATCGCCTTCCTGCTGCCAGCATTGCAGCGACTCCTCCTTCTGGAGGAAGGGGTGCATGTGGCATGGCGAGGCAAGGCTTATGCTTTGGGCCCCGTCAGCACAGAGGATGCCAGACGAGCTGGAAAATCCGTGCCAGAGGCTTGCGGCATGCTTGCTGATACCTTCTGTGCTTCTGCATCCATCGGAACGCTTCAGAGGGCGTTCTGACGCTGGTGGTGGCACCGACACGGGAGCTCGTGCTGCAGTCAGCTCTGGCCCTGGCTTGAAAGCACCGCTCTAGAAGCCGGGGTACATATTTTTGTGGAGTCCGGCCTAGCGGCATAGCGCCAAGGCCAAGATCGCGAGCCGACTCTTGCAGTTCAGCGGCGGCCAGGTTCGGAGCTCCTTCGTGGCCGGCAGCTTTTCTCTCGAGGACGCCAGGGTCAGGGTCACGGCGCTGTCTGACGGCCCTGTCTCTTTCTCAGGAAGACATCAGCCGCCTCAGGGAAGACATGCCGCAGCTTCTTTTCGCAACTCCCTGGCGTTTGGTCCGTGACTCGGAGGCTGCAGCTGCGCTCCTCTTCCGCTCCGCAGCCCCACAGCCCCACAGCCCCGCAGCCCCTTCGGATCGCAAGGCCCATGGCGTAGCTCAGGCCGAAGCATTGCGTGGAGCTTGCGGGGACATGCCGCAGCATGGCGCTCCGCTCGTTGAGCTGAAGATGATGAGTGGAGACTCGCTTTGCCTGGAACTTGGAGCGACGGCGCTTATACAGGATCTGAAGTCCGAGGTGTTCCGCTTGAGAGGGATACCGCCTGATTGCCAGCGAATCTTACACGGATCCAAGGCTCTTAGTGATCTGAGTGAGGTCCAGGACGTTTGTACTCCGGGTTCCGAGCCGCTGAGCTTGGTCGTATGCTTGGATCACATTCTGCAGAATCTGGAAACCGACAGTATTCTGATCACGATTCGAAGCCTGGATCTCCTAAGCCGGCTCCTTCCTGCCGCAGGAAGTCTTGAGGTTTTTCGAAGCTACTTGACACACTCACACGAAGATGTGCGGAGGACGGCTATGCGTGCCCTTTTGCGCAGCCTCCCGGCTGAGGAGACCACTCCGCTAATCTTGCAGGGCATCA